TCTGAGACTTGTGCCTGTCACCTCTACCAGATTTGAATCTCTTGCTATTTGGTAACTTAATTGTATCCTTTTTATATCAACATTATTATATCAACATTATGATAGTTTTTAGATAAAAAAAAAGTTAAAAGGAAATTGTTGTATTTTCTGTCCGTTGGCTTAAATTGAAATGAAAAATTATGACTATCAAATACAATATATATATGCAAATAAAAAATCAGGCAAGGAAATAGTTAAAGGCTGTTTGCTGAAGCATGAATATGTTTTGGTTTTAGATCACCTGTCATGATAAATTTCTTCAAATATCTTGTCCTCTGAAACATCTGGTCCAAATGATACCAAACTATGAAAAATTTGAAACAATTCAAACAAGGACACTAACTTAAGGCTCCATGCCCTAGAAAATGAAGCTTTTGCAGAGAAGGTACTTCAAAATGTTCATAACAAAGGGAAATGCAAAAAATCAAGAAATATAAACATAATTCATAGAAATAAAGAAGTATGCTGATTTTAATCAGATTTTAATCCATATTTCCCTTATAGACAACATAATTTTAGAGAGGTTTTCTTAAAGCTATTTATATTTATCCAACAAATATTTATATTAAGTTCTTTGTGAGTGCTCCACACTTTTCTAATAAAAAATATATACTAAAAAACAACAGTAAACAAGGAAAATAAAGACTTTTCTCGATGTTTTGATGTCATGGTAAGTCATCATTTTGTTTTTATTTCCCAAATTACTCTTACCCTTTATCATTAGAATTTTAATATCTTGTATTGTAATTTTGAAATTGGCACATAATTTTATCTTAATATGTCCCTTTATGTCCTTACTTCTTTGACAACTGTAAAGAGTATGTGCTATATTGCATTCTCCTTGTCGGTTTGTTTGTCCAACAAGTATTTCCATCACACTTCCAAGGTACTACTGAACAGAATGGCTTAATATGTTCCTTTATGTCCTTACTTCTTTGACAACTGTAAAGAGTATGTGCTATATTGCATTCTCCTTGTCTGTCTGTTTGTCCAACAAGTATTTCCATCACACTTCCAAGGTACGACTGAAAAGAATGGTTATATATGTCCCTTTATGTCCTTACTTCTTTGACAACTGTAAAGATTATGTGCTATACTGCATTCTCCTTGTCTGTCTGTTTGTCCAATAAGTATTTCCATCACACTTCCAAGGTACGACTGAAAAGAATGGTTATATATGTCCCTTTATGTCCTTACTTCTTTGACAACTGTAAAGATTATGTGCTATACTGCATTCTCCTTGTCTGTCTGTTTGTCCAACAAGTATTTCCATCACACTTCCAAGGTACCACTGAAGAGAATGGCTTAATATGTCCCTTTATGTCCTTACTTCTTTGACAACTGTAAAGATTATGTGCTATACTGCATTCTCCTTGTCCGTCTGTTTGTCCAACAAGTATTTCCATCACACTTCCAAGGTACGACTGAAAAGAATGGCCTAATATGTCCCTTTATGTCCTTACTTCTTTGACAACTGTAAAGAGTATGTGCTATATTGCATTCTCCTTGTCTGTCTGTTTGTCCAACAAGTATTTCCATCACACTTCCAAGGTACAACTGAACAGAATGGCTTAATATGTCCCTTTATGTCCTTACTTCTTTGACAACTGTAAAGAGTATGTGCTATATTGCATTCTCCTTGTCGGTTTGTTTGTCCAACAAGTATTTCCATCACACTTCCAAGATACTACTGAACAGAGTCAGCAACTTGACACTGAAGAGTTGTAACGCTGGAGCATTTTTCCAATCCGTTAGTCACCTATAGCTACTTCCTACACATTTCACAGAAACTTCTGGTCAGAATGACTTCATTTCAGTCAGCGGCTCAACAGTGATGAGTTATAACATGTAAGCTCTTCAGGGATTTGCCAGAAACCTACAAATTTTTTTTTACTATACTTTGGAATATGAGTTAGATTTGATAAATGAATTTGGAATTGAAAAAAATAACTAGCATTTGCAGGCTGTTGCTTATTTATTCATCATAAAGCATTTTCCAAGGAAAACATTCAGTGTTGTTCCATTGAAACTATCCAGTTGTCTCCTAGTTTTCTTGTTTTTCAAAGTATGTGCTTTTGTAGTTGGAGTCCCAGAAGAATTATCATGTTTGGTCTTTGTAGTAATTAATGACACTCTTATGTTAGTTGGCATTAGAGTGTAAACTTTCTAATGAATTACACCTCCTTGACATTATTGGCTCTGTTTTCAGTTTGAGATGTTGTCTGCTAACATCTTCTGCTTTTTTCTTGACACTCCTAAAATGTGCTTTAATGTATTTTGTTCTTACATTAATCTCTAAAACCAATTATGTCTGATTAATGTCTCTAGTAGACCGAAAAAGATTCGTTGCTAATTTTTGGTAAATGACTTTTGTTTGCTGCAATTTGAACATCAGAAAACTCCTTAAGCAGAAATTGATTACATTAATTGTGAAATGATCTGGCAAATTATTTTCAGTATTTTGATTGATTTATCTATTTTAATTACCGTACATTTCGGAATAACTTATAGAATGGTTAAAATGAATAAAGGATTTGTTGTTGCAGAATAAGGAAACACTAAGATCTAATAATTTCATTCCTTATTTTTCTACCCCCTTTCAAAAAGGATTAGCCATACATTCCTCTTTTCAGAAAGAAAAGGTAAGGACAGAAAGTGGAAATTAGACAACTTCAGAAAAAGTTTTAAAAAAATCTGTTGAAGCAAAATATATGATACTAGAGTGTCTGAAGTTTATTGTCATCCCCTAATCACAGCAGGATTAACACAGAATGACCATGATGAATTGAAAGTTATTTCATTTAGAATAATCATTTTCATGTTTTCACAAAAGTGTAATTTGAAGTCAAACCTTTGGAGACTAGGTCTTAAAAAAAGTTGTCTTTCATCATCAGTCTGATACAGAAAACTAATCAATTTTAATCTCATGTTTTATATCAAAGACTGCATTTCATTTCAAATTGAAATTGGATACATGTTTCAGTTGCTGATACTGAGTTTAAATTTCACACACCGTTTCAGAAGACATAGTTGTATGTCACAGGGAAAGCAGCAAGACAATACAAGTACTAATACTGTACTGTATTTTACAAGGAGGTTGTGGCACAATTTTATCACAGTATTTGTTGTAATTCTTTGCCAGCCCACATCAAGGGCCACAGTGGCTGAGTGGCCTAAGGAGTTAATCTTCAGTGATCACTGTCAACGCTGATGTTTGAACCATGTATGATTTGTGTGATGAATTGATACACTATATACCTTCTTTTTTAATTACTTGGATTTAGTATTGTAACAACCATGAGCAATATATATAGTTTATCTATGAACTAAACAGATGTAGAATAAACCTCTATGTAAGAGCAACAGAACAAATAAAGTATACCACATTTTTAGGTCAGCATAGGCTTTTCTTTTATGATGATCCACTCTTAGTACAGATGATACAACTATGAGCAGAATGTTTTAAGGAACCTACCATAATTGAATGATTCAGTTAAAATCAGAAGTGTAGGAATTTGAAAGCTTACACACTAAATGGACCATTTACACATATGAATGGTTCAAAAATAAATGGCATTCTTTTTTGTTCTTATTAGTCAGCTACTAGTCTAATATAAATTTGATTGCAAATATCTAGTTAGACCCCAGAACCTAGCAATGATTCTGATCTTTCAGAACAATGCTTCAAAAAATGGAGAAACATTATAACTTATTAGTGTTACAACAGCTGAATCTATGAAACGAGCAAAATGTTTCAGCATGTAAATAGACACATGGCATAAGAAGCATTTTTAAGTTGATAAACAAAAATCTGTTTTGAAGCATACAGGAAAATCTATTGTCCTGTAAATCTTGCAATACAGTTACATATTCTAAACATGTAGTTGTAAATATCATTGTAAATGTGTTATTTCTTTATTTACAGATTTACATAATTAAGTTTAGTATTGTAATCAGGAGAAGTTGTGTGACTGATTACATGATGTATTTCTCTAAAGATATTATGTCTCTGCTTAGGAAACAAATATCTTATTTGCATTGACAATTTTTATTCAACTTAGCCCTATATAACAATCAACATGACATTAATTTTTCTTCATAAAAACTAGTTTTTAACTATGGGTCCTGTTATCTGGGGATGTTAAATCCAAAGGTTCATGTTATGCAAATATCTCAAGCATAATATGAAGACCAGGGTTTTAGAAAAAGGCCTAAAGAGTTCTGATAGAATCCACTAAAATGGATAATGCTGAATATTTCATAAAAAAAAATGAATATGAGGTTTTTAATTTCCTGTCTTAAAAGTGACATGAGGTCTGAGTGATTACTGTAAAAAGAAGTCCTTGTTACTACATTTTCAGTAAATACCCTTCAATTTATTCAAAGCATTAAGTAACCATGGTTATTTGTTTGTCAGAAAGCTGAGGTTTACCTTACTGGTAAACTAGTACCTGACATTGATCTTTTATCTTTTTTGAAGTTGTTACTGTGTTTTATTGGTTTGCTACAAATTTTATCAGAAAATGTTATATTTTGATAAAACATTATTAAAACTGAATAAATTGAACAGGTTTTGAATTGAAAAAATGACAGAACCACATTGTTTACACAAGCATAAGTGTTCACAGTGAAAAGATTATGCTGAAAGCTTTTATTCATTTTGAAAATAAATATTGCAGAAAATAGTGCTGCAGGTGATTGTGGTATTCTTTCATATTAAGCTGCAGACTGCAAGGGAAATCATAGTACTTAAATTCATGCACTTGACAATTTGAATTTTTTTAAGAGAAGAATCAGCATATCAGCAATAGGAGAACCTAATTGGTTTTTTATTAGTTTTAATCCATATGTCTTCTCAATATATTTGTAGTTATAATGTTTTTATTAAAAAATATGTAGGTCACAGCTGACTTTGCACAGTGATGCAATTTCTCTTATGAAATGTACTTATCTTCTTTTAGGTCACAGCCCTCATGATAGTCCCAGAAATATGTCCCCAAGTACTCACGGTAGTTTTGCTTTCAACTCAGCGCACAACCAAGTTAAAAAGTAAGTATTTAAAAAAAAAAAAAAAACAATAAGGTCTCTCCCACGTTGGGAAAGATCTTGAAAATTAATGCTATCAAAACCATACCAAAATATTATATGAAATGGAATAAAGGGAACTAAGAGATGGATGTAGATTATATCTCTGTTAAAAATTCTGTCAATTACTATGCAATTAGTGGATGTTGCATCAGTCAATTTGATTTGCAAGGAAATATTTACCAGTAGTTGACAGCAAAATATCATTTTCTGTTATAATGGTCAATGATTTTTTTATGTCATATTTTTTCTCGAATGACATTTCTAAATATGGGTCAATAAACACTTTATGCAGACTGTATTTTATTTTCTTTCGATATTCAACCAATAATCTGGAAGAAAGGTGTAAAATATGGATGTTAGACTGTATATTGACTTAGATGTATTTTTGTTATTCGTGTCATTTGGGTGCTTTCTCATTGAAGTATACCCAGCATCTCCTTTTATAATATGAGGCCTTCTTTGCCCTAGAAAACACATTGGTCTGTTTTAGCTCAATAAATTTAGACTTCTCTCTGGAAAAAATATATTGACTAGCAGCCAAGTTGTCTGTACATGTATTAGATTGGGATTTTAAAGTGTGATGTATTTATCTAATAAGCAGCAGCAATCAATAATGCTGTTCGTAGGTTGAAATTACTTAATATTCAAGATGCGACTTGCCACACTTACACAGGAGTATTTTTCACTATTCAGAAATACTATTAATTTTCTCATATACATATATTTCACTGCTTACTTTAAACCATGAAAATTTACTTATAAAAATACTTGTGTTCACTTTATTTATAATGTACCAAACACTAACCATGAAGTTAAAAAGGACCAATGAACTGTTTTCTGCAGTCCATTATTAAAGATTGCATCCATGGAACAAAGGTTTTAATTCTCTGATGAGCAGAAATATTATTATTTTTCTCATATACATTTATTTCACTGCTCACTTTAAATCATGAAAATACTTGTGTTCACTTTATTTATAATGTACCAAAACACAAAACCATGAATTTAAAAAGGACCAAGGAACAGTTTTCTGCAGTCCATTAAGATTGCATTGATGGAATAAAAGTATTACTTCTCTGATGAGTTTTACAGCTGAGACAAAGCTCATGAAAGGAGAGCATACACATTCTGTAAAGTAAAAGTTTATAGGACAATAGAAACATGATAAATAGAATAATTGTTTTTGCTGCTCCTAAGTCTTTGATACACATAATGGCAAATAAAAAAAAGAAACTTTTTGTGTCTGCTATCCATCTGTCATTAAGTTTCCACATTTTCATTTACTATTTGAAACTTCAAGTCAAAATCTTTCTAGCTCACCTGCAATTTGAGTCTTTAATTGTTTGGCATTCTCACTGTCATTTGTCGTCTGTCATCTAGAGTGTAGAACTATTATCCATTTTATTTTCTCTGAAATTGAAAATGGCCACAATTATCCTTTTGGTGTCAACTTGCAAAAGTTAAGGGTAAAATCAGTAAAAATAGAAAATCCTGTAAAAGCTATATAGTATACACCTAATGAACTTTGGGAAATCATACATTGATAATTCAATTAAAAATCATGTTTGATGACCCAAGCTACATTAAACCTAGCTGTCACTTTTTAAATTAAAAAAAAAAATTGGACAAGAAATTCAGTAAAATATTTAGAAATTTTTTTCCAATTGTTACCAAGCTTTGAGTTAAGAATATGTTTTATGATCTTCGTAAAGAACTCAGACAAATTACCATAAGTATCATCTAACATGGATGTCTGCGTTTTTAGAAATAGACAATCAGAAAATAAAATTCACGAAATAAAATCTTTAAAGGGCCAAATGTGACCAAACGGTCGCAGGATACTTTAGCGAAAAATTAAAAACCACCAGGGGACATAATAGCCCATTTTAGCGCAAGACTAATCCATTCACCTGTATCTTAGTGCAAAATGTGGCTAACATCAACTAGTCATTTACGTTTTGTCATCAAATTACAAACAACAACATATTTTAATATAAGAAAAATAGATGAATCTGCACCCTAATCTAGACTAGATAAAGAGAAGGAACAGTTCTTATCACATTATATGAGGAGTACTGTGCAGGGGGTATATCAAGAGACCATTTCATACATTCACTGGACATAAATTTAAAATTAAATATTTTAGTTAAGGGCTTTATGTTTATGGACATGAAATTTTGTATATTGTGCTGTCTTGATATATCTATTAAAGTTTATTATTCTACTATGAATGAATTTCTGTCACTTAAAAGTGCATTGACAATTTCTCTTTTAGCTAAAATGGGTAAAAAATTTGGCGCTAATATTGGCTGTACTTTGGCACAAAAACTTCAGATTTTTTTTCGCTATAATATCCAATCAATATGCTAAACGACCCCCACCTGACCAACCTACTAGTAAATGATATATTTATAATCCCTTCTGAGAATTTTGAGTTTTTTTTTAACCATTGCTACAATAAAAAATTGTTGCAACTCTTAAGATATAGAAAATTTGGTAAAACAATTAACTTAATTGAAGGAAAATCCCTAAGGAAAAGAACCCTATCCTAACCAACTTTTGTGCATTTATGTTCCTGCTGAAGATTTATGTTTGCTGCCATTGAATCATCTCAAGTGTGGTTTCAATGTTATATTAAATTTTGCTACCTGCAAAACATTATAAATATAAATTTTTTTATACTCATTGATGCCATTTACCGGTAAGATGAACTAGTATCATTTCCCAGTTTCAAACCATGCTACAATGCCATTTCTTTCAAGACAACAGGAATCATGTTTGATGAACCCAAGTTAGCCTATAAAAAGAACTCTCATGACAGCTTGAATAAAGGGTAAATTGAAACAAAATAAAAGTAAGTTCCTATTGAAGCTAATGGGATATCATATTTTCCAATATTATGGCCAATTTCACCAAGATCTTATACTATAAAGGCCAATACTCTTTTAAACATTATAGGAATGCTGATTTGGAGACCCTTTATAAAGATTTCTCATTTGGAGCTGATCAAGTTGCAAAGGTGCTGGCTACATACCAGGTGAGCAATACAAGCTCTAGTTGAATTTGTCATTTATTATTTCAGATGTGATGGTAGACGCTGGTCTTTTGCTTCCTTGCCATCTTCAGGTTACGGGACAAACACTCCATGTAGCAGTTCTAATGTATCGGTAAACATTAATATTGTACATCTTCTACTATGGATAAATTAAATATATTTTTTTCATTAACCAGAGTAGTTTGCTACACATCTGTAATAAAAGATATAAACAAAATGCAAAAACTATTTTACAAAATAAACTTTGAAAAGACATTAAAAAAAATATGAATCGCATGTAATTCAAGTCAGTAAAGGAACTTTCTGAAGAGGCATATTTTGCTTATCTTCCACTTTTGTCAGAATGGTGATTTAGGAGAAATTTATCTTTTAAGCGCCTCAGTGGTAGCATGCCTGCCTTGAGTGCTGAATGTCAATGGTTTGATCCCCAGTTGGGTCAAATCAGATAAATTAGTAGTTGCTATTTCTCTGCTTAGCAAACAGGATTTAGGAATGAGAGCAAAGAATAGCCGGCTCAGAGACAGAATAATGTGTCTTGGTAGGGAGACCGTCTTCCATGTGAACTAGCACATACAAAATCTGGCTTAGCATGTCAAGTTAACTACAAAACAGGCTTCATATTCATATCAGATTAACATGTTCTAACCCTAATATGCATGTAATATTTCCCACTGGATGTTAAACACCTTCTCATCATCATCATCATTTATGTTTGAAATTTGTTTAATGAAAATCAAGTAGTTTTAGTAAAATGTGTGACAAGATCCTGATAAACAAATTTTCAAAGTTTCTTAAGATTCTGTGATTGATTGTGCTCCAGTTATTAATGTGATTAATAATGTTTTTTTCAGTCCCAGTACTCATCACAGGAGAAGTTAAACCAGTTGCCATACCACCCTAACAATGAAGACTTGGGTCTTTATGCTAAGCATTTCAGTGGTCCCCATGAAGGTCACATGATAAGCCTAGACGACAACGATGGTAGACATTCTCCACTGTCACCCTTTCAAAGACCTCGATCTAGAAGCCTCAGGTGAGACAGGTTCATTCATTCCATACAAAATAATGTCATTCCAAATTTGAAAATGCAAGTAGTTTAGTAAGCATGTTACTAAAAGCTCCACAAATAATAGGGAAGGGGTATTTTTATTGCATATCAAAAATGCTGTATGAAATAAGCAAGATATAAAGCAATACATCTAATACCCTAGTTATAGATTCAATATTTGTAGGATACTTATTTATTTTGGAAATAGGGAACCACAAATTTAATCAAAAATATGCAATTTTCCTATAGGCTTGTGTAGAGAATTTATCAAAACCACATAATCAAGTATCCATGAAAAAAACCCAAAAATGTTAACAAATTCACAGTATATCAGGTGCTTGTTTTTTTCAACATTGAATATTTTGAATATATATATATAGTCTGAAATATTGTCAGTTTATCTTTTGCTGTTTGACATTAAATATTATACATTTCTATAACCAAACAAGATTTAGGTGCATTTTGGCTTTCTTATTCAGGCGTCTGTAATCAATATAAAACTCCTTCTATACAAATCAGTGTCACACTATGTTTTGTCCATAAATCTAATGAAAGAATCATATTTAGGAAATGAAATGTTCAATACAGTATACAGTTACGTCATTCATGTAGTTTTTACACATTTCCTTAAACAAGAAAAGAAATAATTTATGAAATCCTTTGGTTTGATTTTGATTTTATTAGAAGAGAGTTGATTTATCCTCTTTTAGGCATTTCCAACAAACCAGTGGAAAACCATGAATCATTTCTTAATGTAATAAGCTAATATATATGATAAGTCATAAAGTAATCTGTTAATGGCACTAAAATTACCTCATCACATTAAAGATCTTATATAGTCATTAGCAAACATACATCTTTTTAACAAATGTTCTGCATGTTAGAGAAAAAAACATAAAAAATTATGTAAACCATATAATTTTCCACAAATGTATTGACATTTAGTAAAGATAATTTTACCGTCAATCAATTTGATACAATTAAAAATTCATGATTCTTATTTAAATTTTCAAATTTGATAGACAAAAGCTCATTTAAGCTACTGTATATTAGAATACAAAATCAATACTTCCATGTTTAAATGATAGTCACTTTTTTAATGACAAACAAGAGTTTGTTCGGTCTTTTGCTTCCTTGATCACTGCTTTGAAATAACAATAAAATTCTAAACTGATTTCTAGATTCATCTCAACTATATTTCTGCAATCTATACTAGTTTTAAATGAGCTTTTAACTTTAAGTTCCTTTGAGCACAACTGTAGCTTGTAATAGATCACTGAATAATTTTATTAGTAGAAATGATTAATTTACACCCTCCATTTTGCTTTTGGTGAACAGTTTATCCTGGCTTGCCTTGATTGAGTAAGATATTTATATATTTATGTATACATGTAAATGTATGCTTATTTATGCCTTCCTATGCTTTCTATAGTTATGCACAATTATTTGGATTCGGATTTGTAGTTCTTAAAATGCTTCTACAGAAATTAAGATAGCTTGATACAACTACTATTTACTAATTTATGACTTGTTTTTCACATTATTAAGAACATTGGCTGATGTTAGTATTTTGTGCACACAAAAGATAGGGGGGTTAAGTTTTCTTTATTTAGAAACACATATGTAATTTTATGAATGTGATGTTGATGTGTTTTATATTTGTCTATGGCAAATACTGTTGTTGGAATGCCTCTTGTTGTACTGAAAATCCAAAAGCTTTGATTTAATTACTCCTAAACTTGCTTTGACTCTCCTTCAAAAGAATGCTAAAGGGAGTTTTGTAATGAACAACACTGACTTTTTAAAAACTAATCAGTGCTAGTAAATTTTTGTCTAAAGAAAATAAAAAAAAATACCATGATATCAAAATGCATGTTCAGAAATCTCATGTTTCCCTTGAATTTGTTGTTCATACTTGTATGGTTAGTGTGTTGGAAACGATTAGCAATATCTTATGTATCTTTCTATATTTACAGTATGTAGCTATAGGACTTTGTAGTGTTGATACTTGTAACTTTGCAGGGATTTATTTTCATATTATTACATGGGTGTTGTTAAATTCATTTAAATACTAATTCACTAATTTCGTCCTGAATATGCATGAAATATTTGCCACTGGACGTTAAGCAACCAACAATCAATCAATAATTCACTAATTTTGGGACATAATATCAAAATAAGTCTCTGTCAAATAGTTGCTAGGTTATATGTAACTTTTGATTTATTTTTGAAAGTGACTAAGTAATGTTGAATCATAAGTAAAGTATCAGTCTAATAAAGATGAATAACATGTCCTAATAATAACTCTTATCACTGTTGCAGTAATATGTGATACTATTTATCTGATCAGTTACACTTATATGCATGCATATTAACAAAGTTTATATTTAAAATTGTATCATTTCAAAATTTGTTTCAATACACATTTTATTCAGTTTAAGTAGCAATATTAATTTTGTAATGACAATTTAGCTTTAATATAATTTGTAGTATAATGTCTTTGGTAAGTTATTGTTCTTCTTATTTTGGCCATTGATATTTTGCTGTTCTTGCTTAAATTTTGAATCTTGTTTAAAAACATTGTAATCCAGATAATACACATGAGAAGATTTTTGATGATAAATGTTTCCTTGGTATTGTAGTACTCCAGGGGCTTCCCCAGGGGGAGATGAAATAGTGATGATGAATAGTGTATATAAAGACAGATTTCCTAAGGTAAGGATCTTTTTAAAGATGAGATATTCCTATAGGATTTGCACATGTTTGTTAGCTAAATGTTGCTGTGAATTGTGATATTCTTGTCACCCCACACTCTGGGTGAGACGTCCTTCACCCTTTTCCCCCACAGTTTCTGTCTTTTTAAAAATCCATTTCAACATTGAGTGGATAAAATAGAAACATCAGAAACTACATGACTTGGAATCTCATACATCCTTTGTTTCCAATCATCTCTTTGAATGCCCAATGACCCACAAAAAAAACTGTTCTGGTTATAGGTTTGCTTTAGTTTTTGGGGATTCAAGAATGTATAATTTACATTACGACTGAAAATGTTTTCTTAGAATCCTTGGTTTCTTTAAATCAAAGTTCTACAAGTATGAAATATTTTGAAGTTGAAATCAAAAAGAGGTTTTATTCAAGAAGTGCATATATCATTATTGTTGAATAATAATTTCCAGCATTTATACAGCCCTAACACCAAAAAAATGAATATCAATTTAAAAATGCACCCCATAAACAAACACTATTTCTGCTATTTATGAATTGACCTTTGTCTATATTGTATGCAATATTTTAAGATTATTGAATACTGTATGTTTTTTTAGGCCACATCACAAATGGAAGAAAGGCTGAGGAATTTTATAGATCTCCACAGTAAAATGGAAATCAACCATGAATGTGATGCTATATCTAGATTCCTACACAAACAGGTGTTAGAAATGGCAAAGAATACTCTGGAGAAATCTGAACAGAAACAAATTACAAGTTCATACTTCTATGAAGTTTCTGAGAGTCTAGAAAAGCTAGTAGAGGATGTAAGTCATGCATGTAATCCTAAGTGTAGAAATAAGACACAAGAATGTTTTTATTTTTAATCTGAATTCATAGTATTTTAACTGTTAGTATCAATCACAAATTAGTTATCTTATAAATAGTACATTTTTTTGGAAGCTCATTAAAGTTCTGAAAGTTCTTAACCATCAAAGTAAGTTTTGTGGTTTTCTCTGTTGCAAATTATCAGTTATTACATAAGATTATCCATTAACAATATAAGTGTATTTAGAGAGCCTTATAGAAATTTACAGAGAGCCTAAGTGGTATGCTGTTAAATAGTGGGATTCATTTTAAACTATAATAAATCAAATAAATCTTCCTACATATCTTTGAGGAAATGATTGTTAAGTATATTTAGTATATTTGACAGAAAATGAGTTAATATTTGTTTCCATGTTAGGCTGAAGAAAAAGAAGAAGAAGCATATAATTATATCTACCCTTTGATCAAGAAACTGTTACTTATAATATCCAGACCAGCTCGCCTTTTAGAATGTTTAGTAAGTATCCGTGGTTATGGTATATTTAAAGCTAAACTGTTAAAGTATGTACTTCAAGCATAGAATTTAAGATTGCCAGTTTCTTAGATGATCTATGACTTCTTTATTTTCTATTATTAATGAAGAAACAGACTGGTCAAATAGCTTTTTTAGCTGTCTTATTGTTATCTATCCCATGAATTGATTGGCTGGTAATAAATATTGTTATTCTTTCAATAGACAGTAAACAACAAGTAACATTGATATAAGGTCCACCCAGTAAACAAGGAAAATAATATCTTCCTTTATTGTTTGTACACACTCAATTATATAGCCAATAAGTGTTTATTGTCTTTAGATATTAGCTGTATTTGTATGAGGCTATGAAACAGTGGAAATGGGAGCTTAAGCAAGCATTTGTCTTAGTTTTGGACTGAGTACAAAAAAACTCTAAACACTTATTGTCTATATACTTAAGTGTGTACAAACAACAAAGGAAGATATTTATCCAAAATCCTAAATAAAGTCCAACTTAAGATGAGAAATACTCTGTACAATTTTAACGCTGTAGACATAGATTTGCTTTGTTGTGCTTTTTTTTTTAGCTTGCATGGCCCTTCAAGTTTTCCCCCGTCACTTGGCGTCCATCGTCTGTGGACGTCGTCCGTTAGCTTTTAAAAAGATCATCTCCTCTGAAACTAAATTTAACCAAATTTGGCCACAATCATCATTGGGGTATCTAGTTTAAAAGATGTGTTTGATGACCCCGCCTGCCAACCAGGAAAATCTGACAGGGGCAGAAATGTTCAGAATGTTGAGCTCTACCTATTATCTATTTATGTCAAAACTGTCAATTTCTTATTGGAGTTATTGCCCTAAAATGACAAATTTTACTACTTTTTTTCCATTTTGCGTATTATCTTGAAAACTATAATAGATAGAGAAAAAACTGATCAGCAAGACAGGATCTTCAAATTAGTCAATATAGTGGAAATCATCAATCGACTCCTTATTAGAGTAATTGCCCTTTAATGAAAATTTTTACCTTTTTTTTTGCATTTTTGCCTTAAATCTTAAAAACTACAATAGATAGATAGAAACTTTAAACAGCATAATGATCAGGAAGATATGATCTACAAATAAGTGTAATAGCCGATTTCTTCAGTTTACTTGTTATTGAAATTATTGCTCTTTAATGACGATTTTTACCAATTTTTGGTATTTTTGCCTATTATCTTGAAAACTGTAAAAAGATAGATAGAAACTTTAAATAACAAAAAATGATCAGCAAAACAAGATATGCAATCATGTCAAATTCTGCCAGAAAAGTTAGTAGATAGGAGTGATTGCTCTTAAATGACGATGTATTTTTACCTGCTTTTGTGTTTTGGGCAAAAACTAAATAAGACAGAGAGAAACTGTAAAGAGTAGTCTACAATGTTCAAGATACATATAGACCTAGGTGAGTGACAGGCTCTTTAGAGCATCTAGTTTTTAATTTAACTGCTTATATGGTGCGATTTAACATACTTCAATTTTAGGTCATAAATATGGCCTCATTGGTGTTTTTTTTTTTTTTTTTTTTTTTTATTTTTAGAAAACTTAATTTTAAAAAATGTATTAAAAAAAACAGTGAGTATGGTTTGCTTCATGAAGATAGTTACAATAAATAATTTTTAACCAAAATACAAAGCAGTTAATTCCTTATATTTTCTGTGAATAGCATGTTCAGGACAAAAACAAGAGTAGGAAAGATTAAAAATTGCCACACACTACAAAAGTATAAATTATTAGCTAGGCCTTTTGCAAAACCCATTCGTGCAGATTCAAAAAAAGTATATTGTATTTCACTATGGTATTTAAATCTAACATCAATTTCAGGAATTTGATCCAGAGAAATTTTATAAATTACTTGAAGAAGCAGAAGGACAGGTTAAGGCAACTGTAAAGAAGGATGTCCCACAATACATATTTAATTATCTAGGACTTAATAAAGAAACTTTGAAAGGTTTGTATTTGTGATAAATAAGTGTTTTAGGCTAATGATGTTTGCAGACTTGCATCATTAGTATATCACTTACTTCAAGTCAGATTACTTAAAGTTTATACAGTAGAGCTATTGAAAGATTACTGTGAAAACAAAGGACTATTTAAGATATGGTTAATTAGTAGTATGCAGAATGGCCAAAGTCAAAATAATTATACCCTGCAGAACAAAGTTCTGTAGGGTAAACATTTTTTGACCCATCCGTCTGTTAGTCAGTCCTTCAGTCTTGAGTCCATCAGTAAGTCCGTCAATCCATCCATCAGTCCTGTTCTTGTCATTGCAACTACTCTGAGACCACACAACAGAATTTCATGAAACTTTGTAGATATTAAGGACATAATATATAGATATTCATATTGACAGGAAATTATGATTCTAATTTTTTTCTAGGAGTGATGCCCCTGTAAACTTAAAATTTTGGCCTCAATATACTACTGCAACAGTTGGTCATCACAACTCTTCTAAATCCACACAACAGAATTCATTGAACTTTGTAGAAAATTAGGACATACTATGTAGATGTGCATATCGACAGGAAAATTATGATTAAATTTTTTTTCTAGGAGTTATGCCCCTTTGACCCTAGAACTTCGGCCTTAATATACTACTGCAACAGTTTGTCATTGCAATTCCTCTGAAACCATACAACTGAATTTCATGAAACTTGTAGATAATAAGGACATAATAAGTAGATGTTCATATCCCAGCCCCAGGGCTCACGCTAGCAGGCGACTGGGGCTAAAAAGTCGCTTTTCTGTCCATCACTTTTCTTTTCCTGACCGTTGAAAGCGATATCAGTCACACTGGTGTTCACAGTAGTCATTTTCAGTGGCTTTCGTCATTGAGAAGTTTCAATTTTTACCAAGCAAATGAATCAGGAATTTTTCATTTATAAGTAAAGAAATTCAAAGACAAAAGATTTATTTCTTTAGAAAAGTGTTGAAGGCATTGACTTTACAGATTGGTTGTATGTTATTTCAAACAGAAAACATAAGAAGTATTTTCTTTCATTTCCGGTACTTGTTACTCGAGAACGTACATCAAAATATTGTGATTTCAGACAAAATAAGTTTGTTACTTCGTTAGAACGTGATGAAAATTGCCTATAGTTGATGTTTTATTCCTTTATTGCATTAAAAGTGTCATATTCCTTTCCAAATCACTTGTCAAACATCGTTTATTTTCGTAAATTTTTCTTTGTCTGCCATTGAAATATTTGTTTGAACTATGGATCTGAGGCGGGATTCATCGGAAGTGGAAAAGATATGACCGAAATCCGTATTCTTATGATAATAACTACGGACGCACGAATGGCACAGCTGACAGAAGAATAATGATCCCAAAAGGGAAAATAACGCATTCCACACACACTTTAACAGACTTTTGGCTAGATCTCCTTGCTTAATGTAAATATTTATATGTAAATGCATTGTTTCAATTTATTGATTAAAGTTGCTTAACTTTTAAATTTATATATCTTTTTAATGTGAAACAATGAATTTCATAAACATGATAAACAGAATAGTTTTTAATTGAATATTAATTGATATATGCTGGGACTAGTATACTTTTCCTTTTTGATATTTAAAAAAGTTCTTTTTAGTGCTAGATAATTAGTTGGTAGTTTCTTAAAAGAGGAAAAATATAATTGTGTAACTATAAATCAGTGATTAAGGATGTTCGCTCCTCTTGTTATTGAATTTTTGTCAGATATTCGAAATCCTCTGGTTTCATCCATGTAATGTCTTTAAAAATTTTGCCCGCTAACCCCTACTTTTCTTTTCATAATTTTATTACATATAGGTTAAAAAGCCATATTTGAATATTTTATAAAATCCTTGTTATTTTTTCATAGTTTTTGAAATAAAAAGATGCCAATGTTAAAAGTATGAAAAATCTAGAGGGAATCATTTCCTGCCAAATTTTCAATGGCTTATATCTCAAAAACAAGCACACGGACCCTTCATTTTTTTCTCCTTTTTTAATTCCATTTTTTATATACTATCAATTAATAACAGTCTTTTAAAAAGCTTGTTATTTTGAAACAGAGTAGCAAACATCCTTAAGACATAAACTGAAATAACTGTTACTTCAATTGTATACACAGGTATGAATTGAACAATGTTAAAAAAAAAAAATGAAATAAATAGGATACATATGGCCCTTTATATCATAGTAAAAACTTAACATTGTAGCTCTGCGTGGAAACAAGCACTTCTCTTTCAAGTCTTTTTTTTCCCTATCAGTTTCAAAAAGAGGAGTCACTTCTCCCTATGATTCTGAAGTAGTGTGAGCCCTGTATCCACAAGAAATTTTTATCAGTTGACTTTTGTAAGAGTTATGAGTCTTTGAACTTAGGAATTTGGTGATATTTTGTTTGCCCAGTGACAATGTGGGGGCATGGGGTACATTGAGCGTGCTCATAAAGGTTCTTTATTCCAATGTTTTTGAATAAAAAAAAAACAAACAAAAAAACTGAAAATCCTGGCGAGGGTGACAATTCCCATGAACCCTAATAAAAACACAAGGAAAGTATGAGTGATGCCTGTATTGCAGGATACTCACAAAATGTTGTACTATCACTTGACAGAAATTTAAATGGTTGCTAACAGATTGTATTCTTGTAAAGCTGGCAATTAAGTAACAAAAAGAATCTTTACAATTCTACACATTCAAGTTTTGAATATTAATCTAAGTCATATATCCAAAATTTGGACTTAATTGGAAACTATCATCTTTTCCAAACCCTTGATAGAGTGTTTTTGTTTTGTTTTGTGGTATATGTTACAATATCTATGTTTAAGAAAATGTGACTTTTTAATGATATGAAACTTCTTAATGAATCATAACATGTCACAGCACGTGACTTCTAAATGAATCATTATATGTCACAGCACATGACTTCTTAATGAATCATTACATGTCACAGCACGTGACTTAATGAATCATTACATGTCACAGCACGTGACTTAATGAATCATTACATGTCACAGCACGTGACTTAATGAATCATTACATGTCACAGCATGTGACTTCTTAATGAATCATTACATGTTACAGCATGGGACTTCTTGATGAATCATTACATGTTACAGCATGTGACTTCTTAATGAATCATTACATGTTACAGCATGTGACTTCTTAATGAATCATTACATGTTACAGCATGGGACTTCTTAATGAATCATTACATGTTACAGCATGTGACTTCTTAATGAATCATTACATGTTACAGCATGGGACTTCTTAATGAATCTTTACATGTTACAGCATGTGACTTTTTAAAGGCAGTGCTTTAATGCCTTTCTAGTTGCCGTGTTAATATTTCTTTCCGCGATATCCAACTTATCTACGTGGGGGGTCATTTAGCTCCAAGTAGATCCGGAAAATGTTGATTCTCTCCTCTTCTTATTGTGGTATAAAATGTTTTTTGTCTCATTTCATTTACATTGGGAAATAGAGAAACGATCATTGTGTTTTGTTAGTTTTAAAAACTTTTGATATATTTGTATTTTACATTATAAGCAGTCAACCGATTGACAAACTAGAATTATTTGAATTCCGTGTGGAAAGAGCTCGGGTTAATTTCGAGTGTTTTCTGCAATCTAGATGTTTATAAATCATTTCAGTCGTTGATATAATAATTAAAGGTCGACTGAACATGAATTATATTATACAATTTAAAGCGCATTTCTGTTTATGCACGCGAACCCGTCTAACGTTATTGTTATTTCGCAATTATATAAAGTAGCAAATTATCGTTCCTGAATAGGTGGCGCCGTGGTAGCCGATCCTGTACTTCAACTTCCGGTTTCTGCACTGTGCAACTATTACAGTTGCATTTTTAATTAACGATGCCAAGTACTTGTTGTTGTGTACCTGGATGTCATTTAAGAGGAGGACATGCATTTCCAAATGACTTAAAAAGAAGGAAAAGTTGAATCAACGCCATGGCCCATACGCAGATTGGACGAGAACACGATGAAATCGTGGAGTCCATCTCAATCAGCTGTTGTTTGCAAGGCACATTTTACTGAAAAAGACTACGTGCAGGAAACTATTCATGGTAAAACTCTATTTTCTTTTTAAAATATATAGTTATATATGTAATCGCCATGCGAATAAACCAAAGTCAGTTTACAACCGCAATTATCGTTTTAGAATAAAAGGGGGTGGTTAATTCAAGACGTCATAATTTTTTGGATTACGATTCAATGTGATCTGTTTGAGATTTTTTGGTGCTTGCTACAATTATAATGATTTCTTACAAGAGGTATATCATACTGAGAATTATTTTAGCAGTAATTATGCTTATGTAGTAATGACAGGAATGCATAAGCTATGCCTCATAGACTTTCTTGAAAAATATCAATGACAATGTTAACAGGAACAAAACAATGACATGCTCTCATCTATATTATAGTTATTTAGGTACAAACAATGTATGTTTGTTGCATACGTCTCTCATTGTTTGTCCTTTGGATTTACATAACATACATTTTGATGTACATTGAATCAGGCTAACATAGTTTTATCCAGATTGTAATGAATAAATCTAGTTAATATTTTGCCAGGTTACGAGTACAAAGGAATTATAGTTATCTCGTACCATTGTAACTCGTACCAATGTCAACTCGTACCACTAATCAAAAACTCGTTCCAATGCAAACTCGTACCACTGCTAACTCGTACCACGGTAAATTCATACCATTGCAAACTCGTACCCACTTATTTAAATGCATTCAAATGGTGTTTAATGATGAATATATACTTTAATTTCACTCAATACCTCTTAAGTCTGTAAAATGTATATAATTTGAAATTACAATAACCAATTTGTAGCTAATTTTCCTTGTCTAATTGGATAGAGAAAACCGTGGCAGATTGGCTTTGTTGTCTCCCTTGAATAGACTCTTTTTTAAACTTTTACTGACAACTATTTGATTTAATTTTTAATCATT